ACTCTCACACTCTCACACACACACACTCACTCTCACACACACATACTCACACACACACTCTCACACACACACACTCACACACACACACACACACACACATGCACACTCACTCACAGACACACGCATGCACACAAACACTCACACACACACACACACACACACACTGTTACAGTAATTGTTATGTTAGTGTTGTTGGTGTGAATGGGCTTTAACTGTAATTCTGAACTCTGGAATAGCTCGCTCTGATTGGTCAGTCAGTAATGTACAGTACAGTGGGGTTTAACTTTGTAAAGCAGGTTTACAGGCGTCTGTGAAGCAGGGCGAGTTATTTCAGGGAAACACACGTGAGTAATGGAAGCGTGTGAGTTTGGAGATGTTTCTGCGCTGAGGTGTGGCGTCGGATTATTTTGCTCTCTGACTGTTGTGAGTGAATTATCTGGAATCTGGACTGGAAAGCAAACATGAGTCATTTTCCATCAGGCCTCTCTCATTCCCAACTTCAGCTGAATTCCGCTGGTAGAGACAGTCTTTCTTTTTCATGATAATGTCAGCGCTTTTAGGATTAACACTGTTGTGCTCCTGTGTTTTGGGAGGTTTGGGTGAATCTGTCACCCCAAAGAGAACAGCAGAAGAAATTAGATTTTGCAGAAAGAAAATGAAGCCTGTTTTAGGACCACAATGAGATTTGCAGGATTTTCATCACAATTAAACACATTTACCTGCAAATTCTCATATAGCCTGAGTTGGACGTGTTCAGTTTTCTCCTTAAAACACATTGAAAGGTGTTTTTTTTCAGCCTGTTTGTGTCTTTCTTGTGAAATCTTGTTGTTGTTGTGTTTTTCATTAAAAATAATAGTGAACCACAAACTAAGCATTGGTTTTAATAATAAGGGTGATCTTTTATTTATTTGCATTACAACACATGGTTATATAAAGCTGCACACGTAACGTGTTGAAAACAAATCTATATCCCAAGAATCGATTTATGCCATTCTCATTACTAAACACTATTTGTAGCCTTTTGTAACAATAATCTTTGTGCTTTGTTACTTTTGATATGAAACAAAGTCTCGGCTTTCAAATTCGGTCCGTTTTATTTATAAAATACAATCAGTAAATGTGGTTTTGCTGCTCTTTAATGTGTGCTGTAGTCCTCTTTACTACTAGTTATAGCACCAAATAAACACGAACGAACATCAGAAGAATCAGAACAACTCACCGAAATCAATCCTGAATCATGGAATCTATCAATCAGTGTTCCAACCATGGAAAGACATCAGTAAAACAGCTTGAGATCAATAATGTCACATAACGTCACGTTTACCTCATTCAATGACCATAAACTCCATAGTCAGCTAGAAAAATAACTCCATATATATTTACTGAACCTGTTCTTCAATATTTAACATGTTTGAATAAAACAATTTATGACATCCACTGTTTAAATGTTTATATTTCAACAAACTGGAGTAGAAACATGATTATATCATTAAAAGTTATTATAATGCATTTTTATTATATAATAATTTATTATAAAATTACCTTATGTGCAATTTAAATGTTTACAAATCACTTTAATACAGTAATGTACCGAGTGACGGGGTTTATTTTTATTTATTTAAATCTGACATTGCGATAGGTTTTCTGCTATATATATATATATATTTTGCGAAAAAATAAAAATAAAAAATACAAGAAGTTTCACCAGATGAATCGAATAACTCTATTTGTAATCATTTGACATTTTACTCTAAAGATAGTTTTTTTAAAAACTTCAGTGACAGGGTTTATTGTGTAGTTTACAGCATTAGTTGATATAGATTGATGTGTATATTGATGATATAATATAATATATTGAATATAAATAAGATGAATGATATTGAATCAAGATAAAGCATAAGGTCATTGTACTGTTTTATTGTTGTAAGAATAAAAATGAATCAATTTTTTACAGTCCATTTTTAATCCATTTTTAAAGACAGTCCGTTATGGTTTAAGTGAACATAAACAATTGGGAAAGAAATCAGATGCGTGTCAGTATATTAGATCAGTGCATTCGGTCTTAAAGAGACAGCAGCCTAATAAACCTGTCTGTGTCATTGATGTTAATCATGTAGGCGAGCTTACGCTACGCCTACATCATCCTCCGGAATGAACGCGCGCACAACAGTTAGCGGAAGCTGGAGATTACTGTTTATAAAGTTTTAAATATGGATATTTCTCTTACAAAAACGCATTGTTTTGCAACAGGAGGCCTTTATTCACTCCCTGGAGCCATGTGGGATACTTTTAATTATGGATAGATGTGCTTTATTTGACGTCTTTTGGACTATTGAAAAATAACACCCATTCACTGCCATTATAAAGCTGGGATTTTTTAATATAACTCTGATTGGATTTGTCTGAAAGAAGAAAGTCATATACATCTAGGATGGTTGAGGGTGAGTAAATCATGGGCTAATTTTCATTTTTGGGTGAACTATCCCTTTAAAGGGATAGAAGAATGTTGGTAACCAAACAGGTGACGGTAGCCATTGACTTCCATAGTATTTTTTCCCGTACCATGGAAATCAGTGGCTACCGTCAACCGTTTGTTCACCAACATTCTTCTTTTGTCTTCAGCAGAAGAAAGAAACTCATGCAGGTTCAGAACAACATGAGGAAGAGTGAATGCTGGATGAACATTAGATTTATATCACGAATGTTTGTACAGGAAACAGGGCTAACACCTCTGGTTCTCATGCTAATGAGACAAGCCAGCGAATCCGCCGCTGCTGGCGCGTACGCCGGTGATATTTCACGCCCGCTCACATCCGTGCAAATTACAGTTGTGTGTTCGTGCGAGTGTGTGTGCAGTGGAGCCTGGGTGGTTGCAATGGCAACACACACACACACACACACACACACACTCTTGCACCAGAACCGTCATCACTAATCTTTTCTGTATTTGCGGTGGTGATTCAGCAGAAGGCGAGGCTAATGGCGTCCGCTGTTTGTGTTCGTGTGTCCTTCAGTCTCAGGCCGCTAACAACACGTCTCAGTGTAATTCTGCCCCGACTGCAATAAGACACACAGCGAATGTGAAATAGATGCTTTCTGTTTGTGTGTCTGTACTTTATTTGTATATCATTTTATATATGTGTATGTATGTGTGTGTGTATATATATATATAATATTATATTACTAATTATATAATAATTATATACTTAACTAGATATGTTTAAAATAGAATAATAATTTTTTTAATGTTTTTAAAGTTTCTTCTGCTCGCCGAGGCTGCATTTATTTGATCAAAAATACAGTAAAACTGTAATATTATGAAATATTATTACAATTTAAAATAACACACACACACACACACACATTTTGAATGGTACTGTATCACGGTTTCCACAGAAATATTGTGCAGCACAGCTGTTTTCAACATGGATAATAATCAGAAATGTTTCTCGAGCAGCAGAGCAGCATATTATACTGATTTCTGAAGATCATGTGACACTGAAGACTGGAGTAATGATGCTGAAAATACAGCTGCACATCACAGAAATACATTACAGTTTAACAGATATTCACAAAGAAAACAGCTGTTTTACATTATAATAATATTTCACAGTTGTACTGTATTTTTGATCAAATAAATGCAGCCTTTATGAGCAGAAGATTTATTTACTAAAATGACAAAATGTGTTTGGCAAGTTACAATGCACTGCTTATTTTAGAAAACTAATAATTGATTTTTGACATACTTTATTTTGGTAGATGGAAGATGGTCAGACGCTCTTCGATTACAACGTTGGTCTTAACGACATCGTCCAGCTTCTCATCCGCTCACAGACGGACCCCCCGGATAGCCCCTCCCTCAACAACGGCGAGGGTGTGGCCTGTGCCGTAGCCCCGCCCACCACAGCATCTGTCCCCGCCTCAGCCACACCCACCTCAACAGTCGTTTCCCCGGCAACCATCGCCAACAGCAACGGAAACGGGTCCAACCCCTGTAGTCCGGTGTCTGACAGCGAGCCGTCCACATCCAGCCGGACGCTCCTCATCGATCCCGGGATCGGACTCTTCAAAGTAGGAGCTTGCTCTGGATGTGACTTATAGTTCATCACATAACTATCATATATCATATAAGAAATTATTGTGGAGTCTGTCGTCACTGACTCTTTACTTGTTACTCCTTAGATGTAGGAAAATTACTTATTACAAAATTTACATACAGCTTGTGGTGAATTATTGAGGGGTTTTTTTTCACATTGTTTTTGTATTTTTCTAAAATAATATAAAATATTATTTTAATAATTACAATGTTTTAATTTTAATTTTATTATTATTTTTTTAATATTTTAAATTTAATTTAGTTTTTTAAATATCGATTTATTATTTTATTAATTTAATTTAGCATTGATTAATTGTACTAAATGAACACATTAAATTGAACGTGCTACAAAACAATTTTATATGCATTAATAATGACAATAATATGTTTGATCGCTGTAATATAATTTAATATTTAGATGAGTCAGGTAGCAAAACCAAAGCATGAATTCTAACATATGAAATTATTATTATTATTATTATTATTATTATTATTTAGTCATGCATTATAATGTATTATTGTTATAATTAATGACAATAATAATAATAATAATCTAAAAAAAAATTATTTTTATCTTAATATTTATTTTTTATTTTTATTACATTGTTTGTTTTATTAATGTAATTTTAAATTAATTAATTGCATTTAAATTAACACATTGCTGCGTGCTATGAAACATTATATGCATTAATAATAACAATAATAAATTTCATCTTTTTATTATTTTTTAATATTTAGAATTTACCAAAACCAAAGTGTGAATTCTAACATTTGGAATAATAATACTAGTGATAATAATAATTATTAATGTTAATAACAATATAATTTTATAATAATAATAATAATTATTATTATTATTTAAAATATTATTTTCCTTATTTAATTGTTTTCATATTTATTATGATGGTTATTATTATTATTATTCATGTCATTTTGTTTATGAAGGAAGTGATGCATTATATTTGTTACCAATATGTGTCCCTGCAGCACAAAAGCAGTGTTGAGTCGCTGGGGGATATTTGTAGCAATAGCCAACAATACATTGTATGGGTCACAATTATACATTTCTCTTTTATGCCAAAAATCATTAGGATATTAAGTAAAGATCATGTTCCATGAAGATATTTAGTAAATCTCCTACCGTAAATATATCAAAACTTAATGTTTGATTAGTAATATGCATTGCTAAGAACTTCATTTGAACAACTTTAAAGATGATTTTCTCAATATTTAGATTTGTTTGCACCCTCAGATTCCAGATTTTCAAATATTGTGCTATCCTAACAAACCATACATCAATGGAAAGCTTATTTATTCAGCTTTCAGATGATGCATACATCTCAATTTCACAAAACTGACCCTTATGACTGGTTTTGTGCTCCAGGGTCACACATAATGTGTAAGTGTGTTATTCCTGCAGTGTAGGCGACTGTTAATCTCATAATGGTGAGCTGTAGCAGTGATGGTGTTTGCTCGGTGTTGTTCAGGTGAATGAGTTAGTGGACTGCAGGGACGTCAGCATCGGCGCCTGGTTCGAAGGCGTGATTGAGAAGGTCTCTCCTGCATCTAAAGCACAGAACAGCAGAGCTAGGGTCGGCCGGCCCAGCAAACGCACTAACAACAAGCTGGAGCCGGAGACGAGCGCCGCCCCTTCATCATCATCATCATCATCCAGCACAGCGCTAAACTCAGACGGCAGCGAACCGTCAACGTCCAAAACGGATCCGGCGCACGTCTCCTACCACATTAAATATGAAGAGTAAGTGCATCATGGGAAGGAAGTCTCTTTGTTTTTCCCTGCATGTCTGGTTCTCATTGGAGTCCTACCAAACGGCAGCCAGTGTGAGCTTCTTGTTTATTGCTGTGAGGAGGTGCATGATGGGATGCGTTCTGTAAGTGTATCGACTCCGAGAGCAAAGCGCTCTCTGCTGCACTGCATGCTGGGAAACCGAGCTGAAGGGTGATGCTGATTGGGCATCTCTGGATTCATTTAAAGCAGGGGTTTTATATGTATTTCTACGGTACTTAAAATTATTTTAAGGTTTTTAGTATATAAATAAATAAATAATTATTGCAGTCGTTGTTGGTGGCGTGGTGTTGCTGCCAGCCGTTTATCGTCAGTCACTCGTTCATTCTTGAGTCTGTAGCTGATGACGGTGGTGTTTGTTTCTGCTGTCTGCAGTTATCCGGAGAACGGCGTGGTGGAGATGAGCGCGGGTGACGTGCGTCCGAGGGCCAGGACTCTGCTGCGCTTCGACCAGCTGCAGGTGGGTGAGCTGGTGATGGTGAACTATAACCTGGAGAATCCCGAGGAGCGAGGCTTCTGGTACGACGCCGAGATCGCGGCCCTCAACGCCGTCTCGCGCACCAACAAAGAGATCCGCGTCAGGATTCTGCTGGGGTAAACAATCACGGCTAACCGCCGAAATAACTAGAAATATGTACATTATATGTTTTATGTTATATATATATACACACTACCGTTCAAAAGTTTGGGAGCAGAAAGATTTTAATGTTTTTACAGGAGTGTCTTCTGCTCATCAAGGCTGCATTTATTTGATCAAAAATACAGGAAAAAACAGTAAAGAATGATTTCTGAAGATCATGTGACACTGAAGATGCTGAAAATTCAGCTGCACACACACACACACACTATAGGTCAAAAGTTTGGGATCAGAACGATTTTTTATGTTTTTTTAAAGGAGTTTCTCATACTCATCAAGGCTGCATTTATTTGATCAAAAATACAGGAAAATATGTAATATCGTGAAATATTATTATGATGCAAAATAACATTTTTCTATTTAAATATACATTAAAATCTAATTTATTTCTGTGATCTGCAGCTGAATTTTCAGCATCTTCAGTGTCACATGATCTTCAGAAATCATTCTTTACTGTTTTTTCCTGTATTTTTGATCAAATAAATGCAATCTTGATGAGCCAAACTTTTGAACAGTAGTGTATATATATATGCTCTATTCCAAAAAGCTGCAGACTTAGACAGCGTTTTTAGACATCAATGTTGTGTTAACAACACAAAGGCTGTTTCAAAAGGAAAGTTCTGAGATTCCTTAATCTACAGACTGCATAAAACTCGAGGAAAAAACAATAATATGTAATAAATAACTATACTGTTATACTATTCAATACCAAAAAGTATGCATAAATAGTTTAATTAAAAGTCTTCTGCTCATCAAGGCTGCATTTATTTGATCAAAAATACAGGAAAATATGTAATATCGTGAAATATTATTATGATGCAAAATAACATTTTTCTATTTAAATATACATTAAAATCTAATTTATTTCTGTGATCTGCAGCTGAATTTTCAGCATCTTCAGTGTCACGTGATCTTCAGAAATCATTCTTTACTGTTTTTTCCTGTATTTTTGATCAAATAAATGCAATCTTGATGAGCCAAACTTTTGAACAGTAGTGTATATATATATTTATTATTAAATATTATTAAATATTTATATTATATAAGTACATAAATGATGACAGACATATATATATAACTATTAAAAAAATGTACATTATACTTTTCAAAGTACTAGTAATAATAATCTAATAATTGATAACATTATTGTAAGTTATTAAAACATTATTTTTAATGAATCTCACACAATCAAGAGATTTTTTTTGTCCATTTTTAAATGTATACGTTAAACCTCTGTTGTGCTGCTAAAACAATGCACTGTTTTGTTGTGAACAGGCTTATTATAATTAATATAATAGTGAACTAAACTAAAACTATAACCTGAAACATTTTCCTTAACTGAAATAAAATAAATAAAAACTTGAACGTATTTTATTTCAGCTAGTTGCCAAAGAAACGTTTCTCATGTTCATTTAGTTTAACTTGATGTACTAAAACATATTATATAGCCAACTTTATAACTAAAATGAAAATGGAAAATATAAAAGTAAAAACTAATGCAAAATATTAATAAAACTGTAACAGTGATACCAAAATAACTGGTTTTGTGTGTTTTTTGTATTTTCCTTAAAATAACAATTAATTAATTAATTATTATTAATATATAAATATTTAAAATATTATTTCAATCAATGTTTTAATGTTTAAAAATTTGTTTTTGTATTTTTCTTAAAATAATAATTGATTAATTAATTATTTTTAATATTTAAATGTATATTTAAATCAATGTATTAATGTTAAAAATTGTTTGTTTTATTCTTTAATTTGATTATTTATAAAACAGAAAAAAATAATTTAAAACAGCTGTCATAAGGTCCTATTATTTATACATTTTAAATAAATTATTTAATTGATTAGGTGTTATTTTGATTATTGAAATTTAATGTAGTAACCATCACAATGGAATCCAGACAAATGTAAATGTAAAACAGATTTCAGAGGTTCCTAGTGATTCGTTGATCATTCAGCTGCGATTCTGATTCGTTCGGCCGTGTGATGTCACTGTGAGCTGGTGCTGTGATTGGTTGTTTCAGAGGTGCAGGTGATGTGATTGGTGACTGTAAGCTGCAGTTTCTGGATGAGATTTACAGGATAGAGAAACCTGGAGCGCCAGGACTGTCAGCGGCCGACGGCCCGTTCAAACGTGAGCACACACACACACACACACACACACACACACTCACACGCACACACTCACACACACGCACTCTCACACACACACACACACGCTCACTCACTCACTCACACACACACACACACACACACTCACACGCACACACTCACACACACGCACTCTCACACACACACACACACGCTCACTCACTCACTCACACACACACACACACACACACTCACACGCACACACTCACACACACGCACTCTCACACACACACACACACGCTCACTCACTCACTCACACACACACACACACACACACTCACACGCACACACTCACACACACGCACTCTCACACACACACACACACGCTCACTCACTCACTCACACACACACACACACATTCACTCACACACACACTCACACGCACACTCACTCACACACACACTCTCACACACACACACGCACGCACACTCACTCACTCACACACGCACACACACACACACTCCCACACACATTCAGTGACACGCGTGTTGTGTTCGTGTGTGTGTGTGTGTGCGCAGGTAAGTCGGGTCCGGAGTGTAAGCACTGTAAAGCAGATCCGGACACTGAGTGTCGTTTCTGCTCGTGTTGTGTGTGTGGAGGGAAGCAGGACGCTCACATGCAGCTGCTGTGTGACGAGTGTAACATGGCCTTCCACATCTACTGCCTGACCCCGCCGCTGACCTCCATCCCCGAGGACGAGGACTGGTGAGCACGCGCTGGATTAATGCATCACACACACCGTCGCTCATGACAGACGCGTGACGCTGTGTCTGCTGCAGGTACTGCCCCACCTGTAAGAACGACAGCAGCGAGGTGGTCAAAGCCGGAGAGAAACTCAGAACCAGCAAGAAGAAATCCAAGATGCCGTCAGCGACCACAGAGAGCCAGAGAGACTGGGGCAAGGTACCAAACACACAGCTGCTGTGTTAATAAGCACATATGTGACCCTGGACCACAAAACCAGCCTTAAGTGTCAATTTTTCAAAATTGTGTGTGTGTTGGAATGAGTTTTACCGCAATGTTTTTAGTCTGGACTGATTCAGGTGCATTGTATGATTGTATGTTTATAATTTATTACATTTTTAGTAAGTGTTTTGTTTTTATTTTTATTTGTCTTTTTATGATTACAGACTTCTATACTATTTACATTAAGTTAATTATAATTACAGACTAAATCAAACCTTAACATAAAATTTGATTTATTTTATAAATCATTTTGCAATTGTTTTCAATGCATCATCACTTTGAGCTTATTTTATGTGACTTATCAATTAAGAGAATCAATATTGAGTTTTTATTTAATATTTTCATATTGTAATAATTTTACAAATGTTGTTGTTTTTATTTTTATTTCAGGTTAGTTTTGATTTATTTTAGTTTGAGTAATTTTAGTACTTATTTTAAATTTGTTGATTTTTGTGATTTGATATTTTTTATTCATTTATTTTTATTAAGATTTTTTTGTTATTTCACATTTTATAATTAAACATTTTTAGTGTTTTTTTTATTTTAATGTGACATTTTTGTGATTTAAAAATATATATATTTTTATAATTTAATAAACAAAGCTTGTTATCTGATGTCGTTGTGCATCTGCAGTAAACGTGTCTTTATTTAAGGATGTTTAGATGTTTGACCGAAACACTGAGGAAGAGCATGAGTTTGTGCAGTGTAGGTAGTGAGATAGAGACTTATAATAACCTCATTATGGTCTGTGTTTCAGGGTATGGCGTGTGTGGGCCGCACTAAAGAGTGCACAATCGTCCCCTCCAATCACTACGGCCCCGTTCCCGGCGTTCCCGTGGGAACCACCTGGAAGTTCCGTGTTCAGGTGAGGAGATCTGCTCCGGAGCGGCTCAGTGTGAAGGAAAAACTGCTTATAAATCTCTCGTTCTGAGCTCACGCACATCAGTTTCTGAGTGTAAAAGCATGATTTATGGATCATTTTGGCAGTTCACTCAAAAACTGATGTGATCAACCAGTTCCAGAGACACAAAACCTGTGCTAGTCGACAGAACACAAGGCTGAATCCAACATTTGGTAATAATAAACCAATTCCGACATCATCAACAACAGAACATCGCCATCCTAATAAAGCAGAAAAATGACCTACATTATCAGAAAGTTTTGGTCCAATGCAATACCATTAACTAGCATTTTCAGGATAAAGACAGCCGACTCTGGGTTAAAACTGCTTATAAATCTCTCGTTCTGAGCTCACGCACATCAGTTTCTGAGTGTAAAAGCATGATTTATGGATCATTTTGGCAGTTCACTCAAAAACTGATGTGATCAACCAGTTCCAGAGACACAAAACCTGTGCTAGTCGACAGAACACAAGGCTGAATCCAACATTTGGTAATAATAAACCAATTCCGACATCATCAACAACAGAACATCGCCATCCTAATAAAGCAGAAAAATGACCTACATTATCAGAAAGTTTTGGTCCAATGCAATACCATTAACTAGCATTTTCAGGATAAAGACAGCCGACTCTGGGTTAAATGAGTGTGTGTGTGTGTGTGTGTGTCTGTGTCTGTCTGTGTGTGCGTGTGTGTGTGTCTTGTGTCTGTGTGTGTGTGTGTGTGTGTGTGTGTCTCTGTCTGTGTGTGTGTGTAT